TTCTTCTTCTTCTTCTTCTTCTTCTTCTTCTTCTTCTTCTTCTTCTTCTTCTTCTTCTTCTTCTTCTTCTTCTTCTTCTTCTTGCATTTAGGTGAGCCATTAAGTTGCTTGAATGAGATGCTTCGATTTTCTTGAAGGCATTTAGTGCTATGAATTTAGGTCTTAGCACTGCTTTCATTGCATTCCATAAGTTTGGGTATGTTGTGCCTTCATTTTCAATAAATTATAGGAAGACTTTAATTTCTTTCTTTATTTCTTCCCTGAACCAGCTGTCATTGAGTAACGAGTTGTTCATGTGTGTGTAGGCTTTTTGTTATTTCTGTAGTTGTTGGGGTCCAGCTTTATTCCATGGTGGTCAGATAGGGTACAAGGAATTGCTTCCATCTTCTTGTATCTGTTGAGTCTTGCTTTGTGACCAAATATATGGTCTAATTTGGAGAAGGTGCCATGAGGTGCTGAGAAGAAGGTGGTAAATTCTTTTTTGTTTGGGTGAAATGTTTTTTCTGTAGCTGTCTGTTAGGTCCATTTGATTCATGACCCCTGTTAGAGTCATTTTTTTTAAATTTGTTTTGTTGACCTGTCCTTTTTTGAGAGTAGGGTGTTGAAGTCTCACACCATTAATGTGTGGGGATCTATGTGTAGTTTAAGTTTTATTAATGTTTCTTTTACAAATGTGGGTGCCCTTGTATTTGGAACAAAAATATTCAGGGTTGTGATGTCTTCCTGGGGGAATTTTCCTTTGATGAGTATAAAGTGTCCTTCCCCATCTCTTTTGATTAATTTTGGGTGAAATTCTATTTTATTAGCTATTAGAATGGCTACTCCTGCTTGCTTCTTGGGTCCATTTCCTTGGAAAATCATCTTCCAGCCCTTTACTCTCAGGTAATGTCTATCTTTGTGACTTAGGTGTGTTTCTTGTATGCAACAGATTGCTGGGTCTTGTTTACACATCCATTCTGTCAGTCTGTCTTTTTATTGGAGAATTGAGTCCATTCATGTTGAGAGAGATTAATGGTCAGTGGCTGTTAGATCCTTTGATTTTGATGTTGGCTGTGTTAGTGTGTTTGTGTGCTTGGCAACTTTTAGTTTTGCTGTAGTTAGGTTTTTTATTTCCTGTGATTTCCTGAAAGTAGTTAGTTTTCTTGGGCTGTATTTTCCTTCTAGTATCTTCTTTAACACTGGATTTGTTGGTATTATCATTGAAATTTGTTTTTGTCATTGAATATCTTGTTTTCTCCATCTATAATGACTGAGAATTTTACTGGGTCTAGTAGCCTAAGCTGATATCTGTGTTCTCTTAGGGTCTGCTTGATATCAGTTCAGTCCCTTCTGGCTTTCATAGTCTCTGTTGAGAAGTCAGGTGTGATTCTGATGGGTTTGCCATTATATGTTCCTTGGCCTTTTACCCTTGCAGTTTTTAATATTTTTTTTTCTTTGTTTGGTATACTTACCGTTTTGATTATTGTGTGGCGGGAGGATTTTCTTTTCTGGTCTAATTTATGAAGTGTTCTGTAGGCCTCTTGTATGCTTATAGGCATCTCCTTTAAGTTGGGGAAATTTTCTTTTATGATTTTGTTGAAAATAGTTTCTGGGCCTTGGAGACAAGAATCTTCTTTTTCCTCTATTCCTATTATTCTTAGGTTTTTTTTTTTTTTTTTTTTTTTTTTTTTTTTTTTTTTTTTTTTTTTTGTTTTTTTTTTTTTTTTTTTTTTTTTTTTTTTTTTTTTTTTTTTTTTTTCTTTTCTTGTTGTCTTAGATTTCTTGGATGGTTTGTATCAGGAATTTTTTAGATTTATTGTTTACTTTGATGGCTACATCAATTTCTTCCACTGTATTTTCCATACCTGAGATTCGTTCTTTCATCTCTTGTAGTCTGTTAGTTATGCTTACCTCTGTAGTTTCTGTTTTCTTTCCTAAGTTCTTCCTTTCCATGATTTCCTCTATTTGTGTTTTCTTTAATTTTTCCAATTCTATCTTCAGATCTTGAACTGTTTTCTTGATTTCCTTCACCTGTCTGACTGCATTTTCCTGTTTTTCCTTCATTTCCTTCACCTGTTTCTGAACATTCCTGTCTCTTTTATTTCTTTCAGTGATTTAATCATTTCCTCTCTGAAAGCCACAAACTATTTGGCTGCATCTTCCAGTAATTCTTTAAGGATGGACATAATCTGTTTGATGTTATCTTCCTCTAATTCTTTATGTATTTTATTTTGTTTTCTCCATTATCCTCTTCATAAGCATAGATGTAAAGTCATTTTCTTAAATTTCACTTATGTTAGGGTGTTCAGGGTTACTTTCCCCTGGATAACTGGGTTCTCGGAATGCCATATTACTTTGGCTTTTGTTGGTTGTGCTTTTACGCTGGCCTCTACCCATCTGGCTGTTTCAGGTGTTGGCTGTTAATTTCTGGTGCTTTCTTGAATCCTGGGCAGGGTTCTGAAGGAGACTTCTTCAGCTTTTTGGGTATGGTCAACTGAATGATGGTGTGTCTCAGGAATTGCCACATTAGACCTCAGGCGTATAGACCTGTGTGGTAACTGCTCTCCTTTCACAAGGAGAAGTCCTGAAGACAACTGCCCTGCTCCTGGGTTTCTTGCTCTGAATTTAATGAGGTGCTGCTGCTCTTACTCTGTGTTTGCTAGGCATAGCCCTCTTGAAGAACCAAGGAGTCCAGCAGTTTTGTCAGTTTAGCTCAGGATATCTGATTGTACCTTGGAGCAGTATCTGGGGGCTGATCCAGTGGCTCTCAGGCTTCTATAAATCTAAGGTTGGAGCAGTGTGTCCCAGTACCCTCGGGGTAATCAGTGGGATGTGAGCACAGTGCTCATGCATACAGTCAGAGGCTAGAGCCTGGAGCCTGCGGGAACCCAGAAACTTTTCTGGAGCCGGGGGTCCTGAGGTTAGAGCTGATGTTTTCCCTATGGTGGGGTTTCCTCCCAACAGGAAGACCCAGTCTGTGGTGTTTTAGTGTCCCCAGTTCCCTCTGGGATGACAAATTGAGCACGCAGGAGGAGTGACTCTCCCTCACTGTAGATTGGGTGCCTGGGCACCTCCAAGAACCTGGGAACTTATCCCAAAAACTTTTAGGGATGGGGGAGGGGAGTTGGCTGAGTGATCTAGAGCTTGGACCTGCTGTTTACCTCATTAAAGGGTTTCCTCCCAACAGAGAAACTCAGGCTCTGGTGTTGTGGTACCCACAATTCAGTCTGAGACAGTGGTCAGAGCACGTAGACAGTGACTCTGAGCTGGCGGCCCAGTACCCACTGGACCTGAGAACTCTTCTGCAGTTTAGCTGGGTGACCTGAACCAGACTGATTCCCACACCGTGGGGTTTCCTCTCACCTGGGAAACACAGTCTCTGGTGTTTGAGGGCCAGAGTTCTGCCACTGTGCTATCCCTGCTGTGCTGCTGGTCAGAAACTGTCCTCCTGGAATGGCTATTTTGGATCTCTCCCCCTTTTTTCTTTTGTATACAGGAAGGCTCCTTTTTTTTTTTTTTTTTTTTTTTTTTAGTTAATTTTGTATCAGCCTCTTTGTTCAAGGAGTTTTTCAGCTGTAGGAGTGCAAATACCACAGGATCATCTCTTCAAAAGCTGAAAGAGCATTTGACAAAATCTAACACCCATTCACGTTTTACATTTTGGAGAGATCAGAGATACAAGGCAAATATGTAAACATAGTAAAGACAATATACAGCAAGCCTGGAGCCAACATCAAACTAAATGAAAAGAAACTTATATCAATCCATTAAAATCAGAGATAAGGCAAGGCTCCCCACTCTCTCTGTAACTCTTCCACATAATGTTGGAAGTCCTACCTAGGGCAATAAGACAACTAAAGGAGATAAAGGGATATAAATCAGCAAGGAAGAGGTCAAAGTATCACTATTTGCAGATGATATGATAGTGACCCCAAAAGTTCTACCAGAGAACTCCTAAAAAGTCTTCTTTGGTTAATACCTAAAATGGTCTTCCTTTTTTGTTAAAAAAATTATCCAGTATCTAATTGTAATTTAGTTTCTATTGAAGTTTAAGTCATCATGAAGCCAGTTATTATAGTAAATGTTGAAAGTTTATTCAAAAGTCAAATGTAGTTTTGTTGTAGATCTTTTGAAACAAAGTACAAATGAAAATAAATTAAAAATTGGAAATTTTAATTCTTCTAATACATTAGCTTTGTATTTTTTGTTTTTGTTCTGTTTTATTTTGCTTTGGCCTCTGAATTTATAATCTCTCTTTCATTCTTTTCTAAGGCCAACTCACAGAACAGCTCATGAACACAGTATTGTGTTCAAGACACTGAAGAAAATTCCAGAGGTAGCCTCTCAGCTCAGCAATAAGCATCTGAAAATTCTGAGTAAGAAAATCTTTTCTCAAGTCTGGATCAAAGATAGCTTAGGTATGTGACAAATGTGGGGAATCTGGTAGAATGAAATGCATATATGTATGTCAACTTGGCTTTTTTAAATGATGATTTTACTTGATATGCTAAATATACTCTTTAAAGACAATCTACTTTCAGGGAATGTTATTTGAATAACATCTTACACTTTAGTAAAATTTATAGCATATTGTCTTAGGGTTCTATTGCTGTAAAGAGACCACAACAACTCATTTTTAATTTTTTAAATTTATTACAATTTATTCACTTTGTATCCCAGCTGTAGTCTCATCTCTCATCCCCTCTCAATTCCACCTTCTCTCCCTCTTCTCCTCCCATGCCGCTTTCTCAGTCCACTAATAGGGGAGGTCCTCCTCCCCTTCCCTTTCATCCAAAACTATCAGGTCTCATCAGAACTGGCTGCATTGTCTTCCTCTTTTGCCTGATAAGACTGATCCACAATCAAGGGGGGGTGATCAAAGAGCCAGCCACTGAGTTCATGTCATAGACAGCGCCTATTCTCCTTACTAGGGAATCTACTTGAAGACTGAGCTACCATGGGCTATATCTGTGCAGGTGTTCTAGGTTATCTCCATGCATGGGCCTTAGTTGGAGTATCAGTCTCAGAAAAGACCCCTGTGCCCAGATATTTTGGTTCTGTTGTTCACCTTGTAGAGCTCCAGTCCCCTTGAGGTCTTTCTATATCCCCTTTCTTTTATAAGATTCCCTGCTCTCTGCCCAAATTTTGGCTATGAGTCTTAGCATCTGCTTTAATACCCTGCTGGGCAGAGTCTTTCAGAGGCCCTCTGTGGTATGCTCCTGTCCTGTTCCCTGTTTTTTCCATATTCTGAAACTTCTCCAATGGGAACTAGAAATGATCATCCTGAGTGAGGTATTCATTCCAGAAGCAGAAAGACACACATGGTATATACTCTCATATAAGTGGATATTAGATATATAATATAGGATAATCATACTAAAATCTGTACACCTAAAGAAGCTAAGCAAGGAGGACCCTGGGCAAGATGCTCAATCCTCATTTGGAAAGGCAAATGGGATAGACCACGGAACACAGCAACTCTTATAAAGGAAGATATTTAATCGGGGCTGGCTCACATTTCAGAGCTTTAGTCCACTCTCATCATGGTGGGAAACATGGCAGTGTGCAGGCCGACATGGTGCTATAGAAGGAGCTGAGAGTTGTACATATTTATCTACAGGTAGAAGAAGGAGACTGTCTTCCTAGGCCTAACTTGAGTATATGATCCTCAAAGCCCAAATTCATAGTGACATGCTTCCTCCAATCAGGCCACACCTACCTCAACAAGGCCACACCTCTTAATAATGTCATTCCCTACAGACCAAGTGTTCAAACACATGAGTCTAAGGTGCTCATTCCTAGTCAAACCACCACACATATGCTTGTGTACTTTGGGTATATCCAAATTAGTCATATTAACCCCCTGAAACAAAATGGGTTTAATTCCCCGGACTTCTGGTTCATCAGGTCCGGGATGGCGTCTAAATTAGATTTACAATCATTTGTTGGTGACAGCAATGTATGGTACAAATTTAGTAGCAATCCCCAGCTGCCTTTCAAAATCGGTTAGAGTGCTTGCCTACCATTAGGGTAGATACTACCCTAAATACAGGGAAAGGAATAATTAGACATAATGCTTATCTTATAGGAGCTACTTCAATATAAATTCATGCACATGAACCTTTGAAGAGAAGGCAATCAAGACATATTTTTTTGTGTCAAGAAAATTTCTTTTTCATTCCTTACAGAAATAAAATTATGATGATGATGATTATTGTCATTATTGTTTGCAGGGGAGGATACCCAAATCATCAACATATTATGCAAAGGAATCCTTATAAATGAAATTTTAACATAATTTAGCCCAATTTTGAACTTGCACTCTATGTTTGCCATTGTTTGTGGAAAGCAGTTGGTCAGGAACCTGACATTTAAAACTGAACTGAAATCTTGTAGACTCGTGATTTTTGAAAATATTTATATATATTTGACGGTTTTTCCAAATGGTTTTCTGTCATTATTGGCTCCATTTAATTAGAGTCGAGTGATGGAAATTAAATCAAAGGAGTTTTGCCCTGATTAAAATTATTTCTAAGGGGAACAAAAGAGAACAAATGTTCACTATTGCTTTCTTATTAGCTTGAGGATAGTAATTAAGAACTGCTTTGTTTTATAAGTTCTGAAATTATATTTCTAATGGTAAAATGTTATGGTACAACGTAAATTTCCTTCAATGAAAGGTTGGCTATCATCAGGTTAATGGAATTGTATGTACTGACTGAACAGAATGAATTTATATGTACATGAATGCCTTTTTCTCTCTCTCTATATATATATGTATACAGTTTTACCACCTTCTGTGTATATATACATATATGTATATGCATATATGTATGTGTACTTACACATAAAAGGTAGTAAGTAAAAGCACGACAGTAGAAACTTACAAATATCTATAAAAGTAGAGCAAGGGCTGTCTCTGACATGGACTCTGTTGACTCTGTTGTTCACTCTTTGATCACTCTCCCCCAGCAAGTTATTGCCAGGCAAATCCTGATGAAACTTGATAGGCTAGGGTCATATGGTTGAGGAGGAGGACTCCCCATTTCAATGGACTAGGGGAATGGGGTGGTGGGGAAGAGCGAGGGAGATTGGGACCAGGAGGAGATGAGGGAGCAGGCTACAATTGGGATATAAAGTGAACAAATTTTTTTTAATTTAATATTTTTTATTTTAATTTTTATTAATTACACTTTATTCACTTTGTATCCCCCCTTAAACCTTTTCCTCCTCCCCTCCCAATCTCACCTTCCCTCCCCCTTCTTCATGCATGCCCCTCCCCAAGTCCACTGATAGGGGAGGTCTTCCCCTGGTTCCTTCTGATCCTAGTCTATCAGATCTCATCAGGAGTGGCTCCATTGTCTTCCTCTGTAGCCTGGAAAGGCTGCTCCCCCCTCAGGGGGAGGTGATCAAAGATCAGGCCAATCAGTTCATGTCAGAGGCAGTCCCTGTTCCCATTACTATGGAACTTACTTGGATACTGAACTGCCATGAGCTACATCTGTGCAGGGGTTCTAGGTTATCTCCATGCATGGTACTTGGTTGAAGTATGAGTCTCAGGAAAGACACTGGCACTCAGATTTTTTAGTTCTTTTCCTCTCCTTGTGGAGCTCCTGTCTTCTCCAGATCTTACTATTTTCTACTTTCATAAAATTCCATGTACTCTGCCCAACAGTTGGCCATAAGTCTCAGCATCTGCTTTGATAGACTGCAGGGCAGAGCCTTTCGGAGGCCCTCTGTGGCAGGCTCCTAACTAATAAATAAAATTTTAAAATATATGTATTTATATTTAAAACTACGTGTGGGTCCAGAATGACATTTTAAGTATACATGCACTTAAATGTTCCCCAGCAGTCTACTATGATTGAAGGCTTGTCTAGCTATGACATAATTAATTGTGTTGGGAGGTGGTAGAGCCTTTTGGAGTGGGTCTTTATGGATGATTCTTTTCAGTGATTTGGCTATAAGGTAATATGTATGCCATTCACTGGGTTCTTTTTTCTTCTTTTTTAATTTATTTTTATTTATTACACTTTATTCACATTCTATCCCAGCTGTAGCCCTCTCCGTCATCCCCTCCCAATCCAACCCTCCCTCCCTCTCCTCCTCCTATGCCCATCCCCAGTCCACTGATAGATGAGGTCCTCCTCCCCTTCCATCTGATCCTAGCCTATCAGGTCTCACCAGGACTGGCTGCATTATCTTCCTCTGTGGTCTAGTAAGGCTGCCTCCTCTTCAGGCGTAGGGAATTATGATAGTAATAGTAAATAGGGCTGTATTAACATTCCTATCTTTGCTTCTGTTAGATATTTGATTGACTCCTACTGTCACTCATGGCAGAGTATATTCTCCAAATATGACTTCACCAGTAGCCAAACAAATGTGATATGTGACCTTTGGTTAGAACTTACTAACTGTGGCCTAAATGTACCCTTTTCTCATTATAAAGTCAGATAGCTCAGATATTTATTATACTAAAAGAAGCTAATATTAGAGCAGTAAAGGCAAAATCATTTTCTATTTCTTCTACACGTGTGGATGTGCTAATTCCTACAATAATTTTAGAGTCACATATACTTTAATTAGGTATTTATATTTTGCAAGAAAGTTCTACAATAAAAATGTAGAAGTGGTTACTTCTACATTTTACATTTTACATTTTACATCTACATTCTACATTTTACATGTCTACATAAAAATGTAGAAAGAAGTGGTTGCTTCGGCAGAACATATACCAAAATTGGAATGAGGTAGAGATTAGCATGGCCCCTGCGCAAGAATGACATACAAATTCATAAAGCATTCCATATTTTTTTAAAAGCAGCCAGGGAAAAAGACCAAGTAACATATAAAGTAGACCTATCAGAATCTCACCAAACTTCTCAACAACTACTACAAAAGTCAGAAGTGCCTGGGCAGATGTCATGCAGACTAAGAGGCACCACAGATGCCAAGCCAGACTACTATACCCAACAAAGCTTTCAGTCAACATAGATAGAGAAAACAAAATATTCCATGACAAAACAAAAACAGAAACAATATCTACACAGCAAGCCAGCCAACATCAACATCAACATCAACAGGCTCAACTCTACAATAAGCAGACACAGACTAAAAGAATGGTTGCAGTATATACTTGCTTATAAGTAGATACTAGACCTGAAAGATAGGATAAACATACTAAAATCTGTACACCCTAGGCCACAGAGGAGGACATTGTAGCCAGCCCTGAAGACACCTGATAAGCTAGGATCAGATGGAAGGGGAGAAGGACCTCCCCCATCAGTGGACTTGCAGAGGGCAAGAAGGAGATGAGGGAGGGAGGGTGGGGTTGGGAGGGAATGAGGAAGGGGGCTACAGCTGGGATACAAAGTAAATAAACTGTGATTAATATAAAAAGTAATAAAAAAGGAAAGAA